TGATGTGTTTCGCTCTTGCTTAATGCTATCATCATAAGATTAGACAAGAGTTTCTTTTCGAGTGATATTAAGATCGTAGAAACAAGAGATAATCTACAATTAGCTTTTATAGTTTTTTTCGAGACATAGAGGAAATTATATTTGACTGTTAACGTGTTCCTGTGCGGCTTGGCGAATTAGGGGAAAATTGCTTGTATGGGGCATCGGTATTCTTTTGTTTAATCTGGTTCATTTTGGGTGTGTATAAAATTGAATTTTTAGATTACCAAGCATCCTTACGACGCGTTTCAGTCTTGCTTAAGGGCCACTCATCAGTTTTATCATAACTATGATTTGTTTACAGTGATTGCTTATATATTGCCTTTACGTGTTTGCGATTATTGTTTTTAGACATTGTGTTGATTAGTATATATCTAGAATATATGAAAGTATGAAATACGTCTGGTTTCAAAGTGAACATATATCAAATGAAAGAAAGGAAAAGGAAAATTAACGAAACATGAACTAGAAGATGGTACCGATTCACATCTTCAATGGTCAAATATTTGAGCTTAAATAATGAAAAATGTAATAAATGGTCGTATTCGACATGTTGCACGTATTTAAGAGAAAAATAAACAGGAAGAAAAAAAGCAATGCTTATCTAGTAACAAGATCTAATGATAATAACAGAATATCCTCTATTGAGAACAAAACTGAGAAAGAAGCGAACAAACAAGAAGGAAACACTTTTCATAATTGGGATGCCTGAAAGAAACAAATGTTAATGATTAAACCGTTCTTTCATTGTTGTACGAGCTGCTTCTGTGGTTGATTGCATCCTGGTAAACATATCTCGTGGAGGCTATCTGCGTATCAAAAGACTTTGTAAAGTACGATTTAATATTGTACCAAGAATTGGTCGTGTATTCTTGAAATGTGATCTTGGATAAACAGAACTTTTGCGACATTTGATGATATTCTTTTTTGAAATTTAATAATGGTCCATTTTCGAACGTGTAATGAAGATAAATTTGATCTTTATGTTCATAGTTTTTCGTTTCTCCAATTAATTGACCAAGACTCGAGATTTGTGTTTTGTTATCTCTTTGTGTTGGTCTGTAAAGTAACATATTATGTAGTTGTTGATGGACTTCACTGTTTAATTCAGTCCATACACTCATAGAATCATATTTGACAAAGAATGTTTTTTATATGATGTTGTATAAATTTTGGTCGATAACCGTTAACTAGTAATATCATTTCTGTACTTAATCGTTCCATATCAAAACCTTCCACATTGGAACATCTACGTGCAGCTCGCACTAATGCAATATAAATTATATTCGCATGAACGTGTCTTGGATGATCAGATTCATAAGGTAGAATATAGGGTTCTGAAGCTAATTTATGATAAACAGATATTTTTAAATGTCCATTATTATTTTCAATAGTAACATCAAGATATTCTAATGATTGACTGATAGTAGTACTAATTGTAACATTTGAATCTGTTTTAACGGTTTCATCAAGTTCTTTCAGAATATCTTCTTTGGATATATTGGTTGTCATAAATACGTCGTCAATATATCCATAAATATTTATGATTATTAGAGTAAAAAAAAAAGTAACTAATAAATGCAAAATTAACCGTCCATAAATTTCATGATGTCTATTTTGGTGTTGAATTAATTTTTGCTCCCATTCTAACATATAAATATTTGCTAAAACCATAGTAAATGGTGAACCCATGGCACCACCTTTAATTGATTATATGCCTTATTTGAATTTCCGGACATTCCTACTCTCTAAAAAAAAAAGGAGTTTTGCAGAACCTTTTTTGGGGTTCTGCCAGTGGGTACTACACAGAACCCCAAAAAAAGGTTCTGCCTGTAAAAAGGTTTCGTAGTAAATTAGCGAAACCATTTCTGCTTTTTTATTAAAAATGGTTCTGTCCTACGTATAAAGTGTTACACCTTTTCAATGCTACACCCCTCTTCTATACCCTTATACTATATACTTATTCTATAACCTTATTCTATGTCCTTACAACTATACCCTTATTCCACGCCCTTACAACTATATCCTTATTCTATATCCTTACCACTATAACCTTATTCTATGCTCTTACTCTATAAACTTATTCTATAACCTTATTCCATGCCCTTATAACTATATCCTTACTCTATACCCTCATAACTATAGCCTTATTCTATATCCTTATTCTATATCGTTACCACTATGACCTTATTCTATACCTCTAGAACCATACCCTTATTCTATATCCTTCCCACTATAATCTTATTTTATGCTCTTACAACTATACCCTTATTCTATATCCTTATTCTATATCTTTATACTATAACCTTACTCTATATCCTTATTCTATATCCTTATTCTATATCCTTACTCTATACCCTTATTCTATATCCTTACCACTATAACCTTATTCTATGCCCTTATTCTATAACCTTATTCCATGCCCTTACAACTATATCCTTATTCTATATCCTTATTCTATACCCTTATTCTATGCCCTTACAACTATACCCTTACTCTATACTCTTATAACTATAGCTTTATTCTATACCCCTAGAACTGTACCCTTATTCTATGTCCTTATTCTATATCCTTATACTATATCCTTATTCTATATCCTTCCCACTATAATCTTATTTTATGCCCTTACAACTATACCCTTATTCTATATCCTTATTCTATATCCTTATTCTATATCTTTATACTATAACCTTACTCTATATCCTTATTCTGTATCCTTATTCTATATCCTTATTCTATATCCTTACTCTATACCCTTATTCTATATCCTTACCACTATAACCTTATTCTATGCCCTTACTCTATAACCTTATTCCATGCCCTTACAACTATATCCTTATTCTATATCCTAGTTCTATATCCTTACTCTATACCCTTATTCTGTACCTTTACTACTATAAACTTACTAGGAAGACCCCGCGCAAATGGATACTGCGCAGTGTGTCTCTATTTCTTTGCTCCAAGTCAAAAGTCAACGCGTCACCCACTTCGTCTACTCACGACCCCGTCCCGTTGACCTTTGACCAGGTACACAGAGACAGATACACACTGAACAATAGTTGTACACATCCTGTTTCCTTATTCTAGACCCTTACAACTATACCCTTATTCTGTGGCGCTAGAACTATACCCTTACTCCAAGGGGGAAACAGCGAACTTCAAGACTTTAGGACTTCAAGAAACTTCAAGAACTTCAGCTAACTTCAACTATAGTGACTTCAAATTCTCACAAAACTGCTAAAGACTTCATGGGACTGCGCGAGATTTCATGAGACTTTATATGACTTCAAGAAGCTTCAAAAGACTTCAGGAGAGTTCAGGGACTTCACGGGATTTCGTGACAGAGAAAAAATAGAGGACTTCAAGACTTCACGAGACTTCAAAAGGTTTCAAAAGGCTTCAGGACTTGATTGGACTTCATGAGCGAAGTCCCCACTATTTCCCCCTAGCCTTACTGTATATCCTTATTCTATATTCATAGTAGCTAGAGCGGGTGCAACCTGCACGACTGCTTTTTTTTTGATACACATAGACACTCTCTATATTTTCTGAAGTCCTTATAAACTCTGATACTCCTTCTACTACATATACTCCCAATATTCCTTATGCGGCCCATATCCCCTATATTTCTATACTTCCTACATCCCTTCTATATTCCCTATACCTCCTATACCATCTGTATTCTCTACACTTCCTATATCCTTTATATTTTCGATACCCCGTATATCTCTATAACCCCGATATTTCCTATAACCTCTGTATTCTCTATAGCTTCTATACGTCTATACTCCATACATTCCCTATATTCCCCATCCGCCCTATACTCCTTATACTACCTACGTTTTAGTAGAGTCTACATAATCCTGGAACCCTCTAAAACTAACAATGATCCATACGACCTTTGAACCGGCGGAGATTAAGGTTTGACCCTTGACCAGAGAACATTCCATAAAATTGTGGAAAGCTCCAGAAGTCTCTAGATTCGTGGTTACGTCCACATCGTTCGAGAAAAGTGTAGAAAATTCCAAAAGTGTTTGACCTTTAACCTTGAACCTTTGATCTTTGATCTTTGATCCGGTAACAGACGGACAGACAACCGTGCTGTATTATGTAGATTCTATATCCTTATTCTATACCTTTATTTTATATCCTTACACTATATCCCTATTCTATGCCCTTAGGACTAAAGAAAAACCCAATATATTTATATTTCGTTTCTTGACCGACACTAAAGACGTGACATATACTTTTGTAGTTGTTTACTATATTTATTTTAAATAACGTAGGTATTCTTAGGACGTTGGTGATTTATTTCAATCTTATCATGAAATAAATAGCAGCTAAATGACATAAATAAAGTGAAAATGCTGAAAAAGAAAAGAAAGTTCATTTCATCTTGATATTATAAGTAGATAAAAACATTTTCGATAGTTGACAAAAATCGTTCACTTTGTACAGTAACATATCACGAAGTAAAAGAAATGAAAACTACGTGATAAAATAGTCCTGTCGAATGTACTCTAAACTATATTTAAAAAACATGTTTTATAGCGAGCTTTTGAAAAGAAGTTTTCACAATAATTATATGGTGAACCATATTTTCTTTATCAAATCCTTCTATAATTCCCTATTTTGACTGAGAAACCCCGAAGAGTTCTGCACAATTAACAGAACCTTTTCTGTTTCAATATCTTTGGGTAAAACACTTTTGATAGCACAGCATTTTTTGACAGAACCTTACGAGGTTCAGTATTATTGGACGGAACCTGTTCGGTGCAGCGTTCTTGGATGGAGAGCTTTTTATGGTTCAGCATTTTTCTGACGGAACCTTACAAGGTTCAGGAATATTTGGCAGAACCTTTTCGGTTCTGCACTTTTTGACAGAGAACATTGTATGGTTCAGCATTTTTTTGGCAGAACCTTACAAGGTTCAGCATTATTGGGCAGAACCTTTCGGGTTCCGGAATTTTAGACAAAGAACTTCTTTGGTTCAGCATTTTTTTGGCAGAACCTTTCAAGGGTTCAGTAGTATTGGGCAGAACCTTATCGGTTCAGCATTTCTAGAAAGGGAACATTTGATAGTTCAGCATCA